CTTTGGTTTCAAGGACTTCCTAGAGCAGGCAATGCTTTATTATTCCATGGGAAGAGAAGACACTTTGCAATAGATCTTGCTATTTGCTTGTTGCTATAAAAAGACTGGAAAAGGGAGGTGGGGAGGAATCTGTTCTAAACCCAGCTGGTACCAGCTCAGCCCTTCAGGGAAGCACAACATTGAATTTCTCTTGTATTTCTTTGACCCAGTTAGCATTGCATAAATGTTCCTGATCACAGGACTGTCTAATCCTCCCTTGAATCCTGCTGAATTTTATCTTGTTGACATCCTGCAGCAATCAATTCCAGGAGCTGACCCTGCACAGAAGGAGGCTGTGTTGTTTTCTGTCTGAGTGCCCTTGTTCCAGCAAACCGGGCTTGAGCAGAGGCAGCATGGAGGGGCAGCACAGAATTCAGCATCTGAGGCAGGGACATCACCATCCCCCGAGGGCTGGGGATGCCTCACACCCCAGCACACCTGAAGGAAAGCTAAACACTGACTAAGCAGCTCAAATGTCACCACAGCCTAGTTGTTCTTTATGTCACCTTGTAGGGCCCGAAGGAACAGCTGTAGTGATGCTTTGGAGAGAGCTGGGACTGAAAGAGTCTGGGAGCAGCAGCAGAGTCCCAGGTGCAGCCACTGTGGCCCATCCCTGTCAGCTCTTCTGGGCAGGAGCAGGAACTCACCTGCAATATTTGTACCACCAAACTCTTCTTACCTGCAGACAGTGCCAGTTATTAGACACCCGTCTGTCCTAAATTGGGATCTGAAGCAGGACCTGGATGTTTCTGTATTCTAACCTGGGCATGATCAGGCCTGTGTTTGTATTTGCTTCCCCTAAAAATCAGTTATATTTTTACTGTTTTCCACAGCTGGCTCTGTGAGCAAGGACCATGTGCAGCTTCCTTTGCTCTTTGTGCAAATCAACCTCAATCTGAAGCTCCCAACTCATCCCACTAATGAGGCTGGAATGGCTTGTAGGCTCAGCAAGTCAGGGATGGCCACTCTGAATTTACATAGCCCCCAGCTCAACAGGGCCTGGTGGGGGGCTGGCACTGCTAAACAATCGTGAAGGGCATTTGTGAGCCAAAGTCATGATTTATTCTGTGTAGTTTTTGATGCTTCTGTAGCACGACCTGAGGGGGAATGTGAAGAACATCTGGAGCAAATTTGGTATTTCTTGTGTAATTGCTTTGGAGCCTGGATGCTTGAGATGTGCCATCTCCCTGTTCTGAAGCTGAGCTGGTAGAGCTCAGCCAGTGCTCATTGAGTGAGTTGGAAAGATATAAGAACATAAAATAAAATAATTAAGGTTGGAAAAGCCCTCCAAGATCACTGACTTCAGCGCAACACTGCCAAACCCACTGCTAAACCGTGTTCCCAAGTGCCACACCTACATGTTTTTTGAACATTTCCAGGGACAGAGATTCCACCATTTTCTTTGGTAGCCTGCTCCAGGGCTTGACAAACCATCCAGACATTTTTCCCAATACCTAATCTAAACCTCTCCTGGCACAACTTGAGGCAAATTCCGCTGGTCCTGCCACTTGTTACCTGGGAGGAGAGACCAACACCCACCTGGCTACAGCCTCCTTGCAGAGAATTTTAGAGAGCAACCCAGCACCTCATTTTCTCTCCCACATACTCACCATCCAGGAAAAAATAACAAAACATTCAGCTAAGCACAGCTGACTTGCAAATGTCACATTGTGCTGCCAGATGAGATGTGGCAGTGTCCCTGCTGGCTCCTCTGCTCTCCCCGTGTGTGACCACCCGCTCTGCAGAGCAGGGATTTGCTGATCCTGAGGGACAAAGCCACTGCAGGTGTGTGAGGCATGGGCAGATAAAGCCTTGTGGTTTACACAGCTTTTGCTAAGCTCACAGCAGGCTGTTGGGCTTAGGCTGTTGGGCTTTCAGCTAGGTTAATTTAGAAGCAAAGACAAGAAACAGTTGATACAATGCTAATATACGCAAATAAATAAACTAATAATTTTATTTTCCTCATCAGCCACTATTAGAAATCTATGCTTTAAACGCAAAAGAAAATTATTCCCATTACAAGCCCATTCCAAAGCACTTAAAGGCTCCCTTTGATTTAAATGGCATTTGGTCAAACTTTATGTAGCAACAAGCTGGTATTCTAAAAATGCCCAGTCTTTCTACAGCTCTTTGCAACAGTCCTAGGAAGCATTGCCTCCAGGACCATTAATTCCAGGAAGGCTGCAATTACCAGGAACAATATCTCTCTATTTACACAACATGTATTTTGCATCAGCTCTAGCTCCTGTCAAGCAAATTAGATTATACTTGAGAATCCCTGAGCATTGGGAAAGGCCACAAGCCCATGATGTGGCACTTCAGGGGTCATCCTTGCTGTCAACTGTGACCCACAATAAGTGATGCCAGCCACAAAACACATGTGGGTCCTGGTGAGCAAGGCAGAGAGCTGTGCCTGAAAGTCCTGGCTCTTCAAACACAAGCAGTAAAGCTTTCAGCCGTCATTTCAGAGCTCTCTTCTGCCCACGGTTACAGATGCAAATGGAAAATACAAAAACGCTTTGCCATTAATCACGTTGCTGATGGTTCAGTCAAGGTTTCATTCAAAGCTAAGGGATTCCTGCTTAGTCACTAAATGCAGTTTAACTTCATTTTGCACTATGATAAATGAAGTGAGTCGCCACTTAGGAAGGCTCAAAGTTAATTAAGAAATGTCTTCAATGAGCAATTAGGGCCAAATGCAGGCACTTTAGGGCAGGGGGAAAGCCTGAAGCAGCACCCACAAAGCCCCAGCTTTCAGCTGAGCCATCCTGGATTTTGCCTCGGGCTCAGGTCTGATCTCCTTAAAAGGTGGAAGCTTTAAGTTCTCCTTAGAGCTTCAAGAGTTGGATTTTTTCTGAAATCAAAGATAGCTGCTTTAATCCTAATTTCAGAGTTAAAGACCTTTTTAGAAACTGATTTTGCTAACCTTTCTCATACCCCTCCAGCATCCCCCTGTTTGTGTGCAGCCCCCGGATCTGCTCCTGCTGGTCCCATCCATGGCGTGTCCCTATCTGTAATCATGCTGCACTGGCTCGTGTTTCAGTTTTTTTTATCAGCATCTCTCTTGCTGGCTGTCTGTGTGGGCACAGAAAGGTCCGTCCTGGCTGGGGGGGCTCTCTGTGCTGCAGGAGGTCCTGAGCATCTCCTGCACTGCACAGGTCGGATCACCAGAGAGGCTCGTGGGGCTGTTGCTTCCTCGCCTTTGCTTTTTCAGCTGGTGAAATCTTTGTCGTTTAAAAGACAAGAATCTGAGGAAAGAGTGGAACAGTTTTCTTTCTGCCTTGCCATCTCTGGTTTGTAAATTCTGGTCGTGATTTTCTGTGTCCAAATGCATTTACTGTTTGCAGCAGGAAGAGGCTGCATGATCATGCAAGCAAAATTGCCATGTTAGCTCACAGTCTGCCTGTGAACTGGATGTGAGGTCTGAGACTGAAAGCTGCCAGTGGGATTTGGATACCAATTCCCCACTCAAATTAATCCAAATCCCTTTGGCAGTTCTGGTGATTTCAATAAATGAGATTTTTCTGCCGGTGACTTCAAATGCAGAGCCTGCCATGAGATGGGCCATGGAAGCAGCACGGCTTTTATCTCTCTCTGTGACCTAAATTCCTAGATAAGGTTTTCTTTCTTGTCTGGAAGCATTTCTGAACAGGCAGAAACTTCTGCAGGCTTATCCTGACCAGTGATTCCTCAGGGGCTGTTCTGCAGACAGGGACTGAGAGGGAGCATTTTCTGATGGCCCCAGTGTGCATCCATGGGATGCACAGGGAGAAAACTGCTGTATAACTACAGGCCACATTATCCCATCCAACAGCATCCAATTTCTTTTCCTTTGGTAGGACTGCAGGCTCCATCAACAGCTGGGAGGCAGAGAGGCTGTGACAGGGGAGTGACAAGGCTGCCCCAATCCCCATCCCCTCCTTGAACCAGCCCAAAGTACACCTGCAGCAGGTGGGTGATGTTGTAGAGTTGCAGAACTGCCTTATCCAGGGAACTGGTGCATATTTAATGGTGCAGTGATTTCACAAGGACCAACGTGGTCATTTCCAACAGAGCTGATGGTGAAGAAGGTGAGGACTTTTCAAAACAGGATTTAAGTTAACCTGAATAGAAACTACCCTCCCTATCTGCTGTCTCTGTCCTGTGTTAAACCAGCTTTTCTTTTCTTACCTGTCACAGCTTCTACTACACAGCTGGAATTCCTCATCCTGGGGCTCCTGGCCCTGCCACCCAGCATCCCCCTCCTGCTGGGAGCTGCCCTGCTCACCCACTGGCACCACCAGCCCCACGTTTCCCTCCTCTCTTTCCTGCCTTGCCACTTCTATGACTCTAATTTGCTCATGTCTCTTTGCCCCCATCTTTGCTGCATCCCAGCAGCATTGGCTCTTCTTGCAAAACCTAGTTTCTTGAGTAGAATCTTAGTTTTGACTAAAGAAAAAGCATTCTCCAGAAAGAGCCTGTTCAGTCCAAAGCTTCATTTCTCCAAATCTGGCTGCACCTAATTCCAAACTCGTGGTGCTCCATAGGCACAGAATAGCTGCTGCTGAGTAAACCTGGAACTAACACTGTAGTTTTAAATGTCCCCAGCTCTGAGCCCAGCCCCCACAACCTACTCCCAGTCCTACATCAGAGGAGTTGGAGGCTTTTCCCAGTGTGTCCTGGGTTGAGGTCTCATCTGCTGCTGTGCCTCTCTGCTCTGAAAAGGTGATGGGTTCATGGGTGTTGAGACTTGCAGGATTACAGCTCAAAATCCTGTAAGTGTAGAGACTTACAGGATTCTCAGTGGCAGCTGAGAAGGAGTCAGAGTCCTGGGGAGCAGCTGCTAAAGGGGTGAGGTGTGAAGGCCTTTGGTGACCCGGTAGAGTGAAAAGATGTTTGCATGGCAAGTCAGAGCCCATGTGCTGTGGATCAGCCCAGCACTAAAAACAATTCCCTGTGGAATGCAGAATGGAAACAACAACTGGATGGAAGGATTTTATTTGTTTCCTCTGTCGAAAGCAGTGATACATGCAGTTGGCACAAGACTTGTTAGGCATTAGAGTCATAAATATTCACATGGAGAGAAATTTAAATGACAGCAGAGCAATGAGGACAAGCATCTCTTAAACCCTGCATTTACCTGAGAAGGGAGGGACAGGTGTGGTGGAGGCAGAGCAGGCTGGGACCTCCTGGGTTCAACTTTCTCCATCAGCTTTAATGAATGCTGGAGCCACCTTCATTTCTGTTCTTGCTGTGTGGTTAGCTCAAAAACAGAGCTGAGACCCAGCTCAGCTCCGTAGCACTAATGAGTTTCAACAGGAGAAAAAAAATATTTGAGGTAAGAGATGTGAGGATGAGAAGCTCAAACACTCTCACCTTTTGATCTTTGAGCATATTTACTCTCATGTTGGTACTGAGTAGAAGTTGCTTTTTCATTTAATCTGCTTGAGGGTGGTTTGGAAATCACTTGTGAGCATTTTTATAATTGCAGCTTTCTAATGCTGTTTCTCATCTTAGCTGCTGTTGAGCAAACAGCCTGGTCCCTCTGCTCTCCACTGTGCCAAAACATTTATTCCTGGTGTTAGTAATAATTAGGCTTGTATTGCTTTGCAGTTTTCTCAGCTACATCTCCTGACTGGCTACAGAGACAGCCAGAACAGGCAGCAGACACAGGTGGGTGAGGTTTCTCTGACTGCAGGAGAAAATGTCAAAGGCAGCTTCTCTGATGGAGAAATCTCTGTGTGGCAGTGAGAGATGGCCTGGGCATGTGCCCACTACCCCGTGCCAGGACTTCCCAGCCTTTTGGAAATGTTTCTTGTCCTACAGACATCCCATGTAGCATTACCATCAACATTAATTGTTTGTATATGCTGTCTGCTGGATGGTTGGAACATGCACATTTGTTTTTTCCATGTTTCAGTCTCACAGCGCAAAGAAAAGCTCAGTCAACATCATCAGCATGGTCAGGTAGGTGAGAATACAGAAGCACAGCTATGAAGGGAAACACAAGTTATTATTTTACATTCAGCCCAGCATCCCTAGGCTGCCCCTCAGCCAAGGCTGCTCTTCTGAGCCTGCAGAGCTCTGTGTGGGCTCATGGGGCTCCCACAACTGAGCAGCAAATCCCATGGGTGCCCATGGGGTGCAGCCTGGCTGTGACAGTGCAGAGTCCAACATGATGCCTGTTTCTTTACAGCAGGCTCCACAACAGCCACAGCACTGGCACAGCAATGCCCACCAGAGCTCCCAGCTCCCCTCCTGCCAGGGATAAGTCCAGGAGAAAAGGGAGCAGGGTTGTGCCAGGGCAAGCACCAGGAAAATCCCCGCCCAACGAGCTGTAATATTCTCCATGTTGCCCTGCAGCAAATCCTCATAACAGACTTTTTATGATTTTAAAGAAATAATTCTTTATGCTATTGCTCTAATGGATGACCTCTCCAGTGGGTCCTGGTGCTGAGGCAGGGATCTATGATGGCTCTCCCAGTAAATGTGTGTGTCAGAGGAGTGCATTTCGTACTGTCCAAGCCTTGGGCAAAGGGTTCCTTTCTGAATAACTGTACCCGAGTGTTGTACAGCAACATCTGGCTGCTTGGCATTGGCTGGAAAGCACTGGTATTTCAATGTTCCCACTTCTTCTCCAGCACAGATGGGATTTGTGTTCTCTCCAGCTCTCTCCATCTTTTCTTCGTGCTCAGGGAAGTTCTAGGCAGTAGGTGGGAGGAGATGCTTTATGAACTGTTGCCTTTCCAAAATGAAAACTGATTGCTGTTTCCTTAGCAGATGAGACTCTGAATTGTCCCTTTGCCCACAGATGAAGGATATGATGGATCACAAGAGTCTGCCTGACTCACATGCATGTTCAAGCCTTGTTTTCTGTGTGAGGACTCTAGGGAGAGCCACTAGAGCACAGGGTGATTTTATCTTGTGAATAAAATTATTCTAAGCAGCTACTTCTTCACACTTCAGCAATGGCTGGGAGCAAACAAGCTTTTATCTTTGCTTCTTTCCAGATGCATCTGTGCTCTGAAATCCAGTTATGGATAGTGGCTTTTTTAGGTACCTGGAAAGACTCAAAGTATCTCTGCTTAGTGGGAACACCACCCGTGACATTTTTGTCACAGTGAGAAGTTTCTCTTCCTTCTTTTTCATCTATGCTTGCTGTATTGAATAAATTCTGCCTGCCAGAGCAGGGCAGAGCTGGGTTTCCTACCACCTTCCCTCTGACTGAGGGTGCCAATGGCTCTTCACTGCGAATGGACATGAGGCCATTTTCTTTCTGACTGTGGTTATTTCCTAAAACTGTTCCCTCATCCCTTCTGAGACACCTCAGCTCTGAGCATACTGCTTCTTTCTGAACTGGTCTTGGGGAGGGAAGCCTTGGAAAACTGAACACTCGTGGAAAACTGTTTTTCACTGTGGTTTTTTCTTCCAGATTTGTGGGATGAAGGTCACCATTTGGGACAGAAGAATTGCACTGAGAGTAACCAGTGCTGGCACTTTCACCATAGGAAGAAGCCTTGGGGGAGCAAAGATTTCCTGCATTGGTGTAAATTTGTTCCAGGGGGTCCTCTCTGGACCAAAAGTCTGTTTCTCCAGGTGGGACTTTTCCCAGTGGCACCACATTGGAGATGAAATTGGTCAATTTACATTTTGACCTTTCCTGCTGTGTCCCCACAAGCAGTGGAGAACCTGACACATCTTCAAGGGTCTTCAGGGTCTTTCTGTCCTTACCCTTACGTCTGCTTTCGAGAAGGGCTGGGAAGGTGGGTCTGGCAAGGTGGCAGATGGATTGGATGTAGTCATCACTGGAGTACGAGTCTGGGCTGGCTGCAGCACTTCCAGCACGCTTTGGGTTGCTGCTTGGATCCTCCATTGCTTCCTCGTGGGTTTCCCGTATGGTTGGGAGAGGCTTTGAAAGGCTCAGTCTGATCCGGGGTGCCATGGCTGCAAAGAACAGAGCAGACGTGATCAGCATGTGAAAACCTGCTGTGGTAAAGAAATCCTGGGCTTGTTTCTACCTGATCCACCTGATGTTTTCTTGTGGTAAACATGGCTGTTAACAAAAACTGCATTTTAAAAGTTTGCTGGCAGTATTTTTATATCCATGGCTTCATAAAGAGCTTCATAAATGCACCAAAGAAACCAAGTCATTAAATGTGGCAGTGATTAGAAGGTTCATTAAAGAGATCAGCAATGGTGCTCCTTCCTGAAGCAATGCAAGGGAGCACAGCTGGAGAGGTGTGGGCAGGGGCATGATCTTGTCTCACTGCCCTTGTTGGAATAGCAAGGCACAAACTACTCTCCTTATTTAATGCTCCATGTCTGTTCACTGTGACAGGGCTCTGACCTCACCCTTAGTCCAAGCAGGCAGGAGCTGAACCCAACAGGAGAGAAGCTGCCCTGCCCCTGTGGGGAGCACCACCTAAGTAAAGCAGCATTTCAGTGGTCTCTTCTAGAAGCTGCAGGTGAAAATGTACAGAGTCACTTTTGTCCGTAGTTCATAAATGTAGTTATGGAGAGGTAGGTCCTCCCCTGAGTGCTTACATAGAATCAAAGGGATTTAATTCATGTCCTTTATATTCCAATAGTCATCCTCAACTTAGGACGGATTTCTATCAAACTGCTCCCACTAATCAGTTAAATATATTGAATTACAAAGATTTCAGTATATTTTGTGCTGCAGTGTTTTCTAACTGTACTGACTTTATTTTTTTTTCCATACACTCCCCCTTGTGATTTGCTTATCTCCCCTTCTGGCAGAAATGACTACACAGCCTGGATTTTTTTTTTAACTGCTTCCTCCAATGAAATTTGTATGTGACTAATCTGCAGACACAATATAGCTTTGTTGTGTGATTAAACGCAAAAGTGCTTTACTAGCTATTTTAATGCCTTGCTTGCCATTGCTGGAAATAAATCTGCTTTGTTGAACCTCCCTGCAAAGCTGCAGATCACACACGGAGCACAAATGAGCAGCTCGTGCCGAGCCCAGGGTAGAGCTCGCTGGGTGCCCATCCCTGCTCAGGCTGCTGCTGGCCCTCACTGGTTTTTCTCAGGTGCTATTGGTAAAGCTAGCCAAGCTGGGATTTGCTGACCTGAGAGTAGGAGATGCTTGTTTTAAACCTTAAGGCCTTTTTACCATCCTTGTTCCTGCCTGCTCTGTTTCTCTCATGTTAAAAAAAAGGCTTCTTCCTTCCTTCCTTCCCTCCCAGCCCTTGCCTGAGCTCGGCAGTGTCAGAGTCTGGGCCCGGCAAGGAGAGCGGCCGGATGCTCCTGGTAAGGGGCAAGGGCATGAGGTGTTAAATCACGATAGCGCTAATCAGTAATCCTGCCAACACGCCCTTCCTCCGGAAGGAAATTAAATTACCTATTTGCAGTAAAACTCTTCCGATGATGGGATGGACCAGGTCCCGCCCGGGTGCGATCCCCTTCTCCCTGGGCACCGCGCTGGCACGGCCGAGGTCACCTCCCTGTCACCTGCGGCTCCCGGAGAGCAGGACCCGCTGCCCCGCAGCTTCCCTTCCACCATGCCTTGAGCATCACTGGCTCCAGCATCCCGGATATTCCTAGCGACCCCCAGGACACAGCCCTTGGCCAGACCCCCTCCCCTTACCTGCGGGCTGCGGGCACTGGCGGCTGTCGTCTCCCCTGGCTGCAGGCTCTGCCCCGCTCCCTCCTCCCTTTCCCAGCACGGGAGATGTGCTGTCTAACACTAACCCAGCGCCAGCTCCCTGCCTCAGTCAGCTGATCCCGCTGCCTGTTTTGTTGCTGTTGCTAAATATATCCGGCTGGCTGCCTGCCCTGCCCGAGCCGCAGCCGCCGGGGAGCCCGCGGGCCGCCAGGACCGGCACCGCACGTCCCTGCGGTCCCTGCCTGGCGACAATTCCCGGTGTGCAAGGGACTCAGGGACTGCGGGGCCGTAGTGCGGGAGGGGAAGGGCTGCCTGTGCTCCAAGCTGGGGTGGGTAAAGAGGAGCCGTAGGTCCTCCATGCTTTATTGCTGAAAGGGGAATGCTTAGGGTTTGGGGCTGTTTTTCTTCGTTCTCTGCGTTATTTTATGAACAAATTTGTGCTGGTTTGCCCAAGGGGCAGTGGATGTTTGCAGCTTCATTAGTGCTGCTCTCTGCTCTCCTATGTCCCTGCTCCTATTCTGCTCTGAGCCGAGCATTGCTGGGCAGAGCTGTACATCCCTGGGCTGAGCTGTGCATCCCTGGATTGAGCTGTATATCCATTTTGCTGTGGAGATACAGCAGCAGCCGGCCCTGCCACAGCACTCCCAGGGCTCTGCTCCTCCAAACCCCCTGTCCCACTGCTCCCAGCATCATTCCTGTTCATGTTTCTCTGAGACCACACAAGTGCATTACAGCAAATTGCTTCGCCAGGAGGACTGACAGCATCTGACCTTGTGGTTCCCTGGGCAGCAGCAATATGCCTTTGTTTCCTGGCTTATTAACATGCTGTAAACTGATTGCAATTCTGGAGTAACCCTGGTGTCCCTCTCATAGCCTCTCTTGCAGCATCATGTTGCATGGGGAGATGAATTGTTATGTTGCAGCAGAATCTTCCTTCCGTACTTCTTTCCCAACGCTGTCCTCAGAGGCAGCCCCAACAGCTGCTGCTCTTTCCTGGGGAACAGCCATCCCACACAATATCCCTGTGTGCCCAGGCCAGGGAGTACGACTGCATTTCTGAGCCTTGCTGCTCCCCACAACACCTGTCCTGACCTGCTGGAGGGATGAAGAGAAAAGCAGAAATGCTAGATTAAAAATCACTGCTTTAGTTTTAATGCAAATATTACCAGCATCCAGGTTCGAATTGGCTCTAACAGCTGATTTAGTCACCCAAGCCTACATTCATTATCCAGGTTTTTCTTTGTCTCCAGTAAAAAAAATAAGTAGCTCAACAGGCTTGTGCATCCCTTCAGGATACAGTTCCAAGCAGATTATTTTTTTCTGGAAATAGCCATTGCTTAGCATTTCAATATAACAGGTATGTAAGTTTAAGCTGTTTTTCTGGACTTCTGGTGCCAAACAGTTGAATTTAGCTGAAACGACCAACACCCTTCATTCATTAAATTCACTAACAGCCGGGATCATGCTGTAGTAACTCAGAGCTTCAATTTTTCCTTCTAGCTTGCAGGAAACATGATTACCATCAAAAGGGAAAAACCCCTCACACATCAGCTATGCTAAGCAGCTGCAGTATGGAACTTGGGAAAAACATTTTGTGAAGAAGATCACTGATCTGGAAACAAAGTCCACACGTGCAGAAGTGCATGGATACATTCTCTTTTTAAAAAGTCTTCAAGATGGTCCCTGGTAAGTCCCTCCTCCCTGCCAGAGTTGCCTCCTTCTCAGAGGTCTAATGGAGTGAATAGAACATGGCAGATATTCTGGGAGGCAGGGACAAATATAATATACCTATTCTTTTTTTTTTAACCTCAACTACGGCTGTTTGGGTTCTACTTTCATCAGCTGTGTTCTTGAAAAATCTTAATTAAAAAAAAAAGGTAAAAGTTTGAATGCTTCTTGCAAGAATGCCATAGGTTTCTCCTGAGAACTTGTGAGGATGGTTCTGGATAAGTCATCCCAGTCTCCTGTATTTATACTCTCCAAAAGTGCAGTGAATCAGCATTCCTGGGTGCATGAAAACTGTCACCAAATGGGATTAATGGCAAAAGAAAACAGCAACAGCAACAGCAGCAGTGCCTGAGCTGCAGAGAAAAACACCAGTTGTTAGTTCTACAGGGCTTGGTTGAGTGTCTGCGATATAAATGCTGACAGTTATTTTTTTTTTTGTTTGGTTTTATGTTTGTTAGTTTTGAGGGGTTTTTTTAATTCTTCCTGTTTGGGAAAAATCCATGCAGTTTAGCAGTGTTGGGTAAGTGTAATAGGTGACTCTCCTCTGGGCATTTTTGGTGCTTGTTGGCTCTTGCCAGGGCTGGGAGATGGAGTTAACATGACACTGAGCATCTCCACACCTCAGTGCAGGTCCTTCTTGAAGGTGCATCAACAACTTGGAAAAGCTGCTCCTCTCTTGCATGTGGGAGAGTGACTTTTTACAGGGCAGATATTGAATGGGACGGGGGGGACAGTTTTAAATTAAGAGGAGAGATTTAGATTATGAAGAAATTCTTTATTGTGAGTGTGTTGAGGCACAGGTTGTGCCTCAATAAGAGGCAAGAGGTTGTGGGTTCCTGGAAATGTTCAAGGGCAGGTTGGACGGGGCTTGGAGCAACCTGGTTTAGTGGAAGGTGTCCCTGCCCATGGCAGAGGGGTGGAACAAGATGATCTCTAAGGGCCCTTCCATTCCAAACCATTCTGTCATTCTTTGTTTCCATGTTTGTCATTAAAAGTTTAGGAAATTAAAATGTTTTGACCTGATCTGTGCCAGATTCCAGATGATTTGTGTTCTCTAATTACATCCCCCAGCCCATTAATCTCCTGTGCATTACAGCAAGCAGTCACTACGGTACCAGTGAAGATATTGCCATGAAATATTAATGAGCTGGTTTTGTATTAACTAGACAGAGTTGGGTTGGAATCGTTACCCCCACAGCTGTTGCCTTGACTGCAGCTCACACAGCAAGCGGTGGTGGCTACATGTGCAACACTGTCACTGATGCACACAGATTTTCTGGGAGTTCCTGGCTACTTCTTGCCTGTTGCAGGTGAGGAACCAGTTGCTGTGAGGGCTGAGTAGCTGTAGCACATTGCCACAGGGCACAAGGCTTGTTTGCAGGATCTGAGCTCTCCATCCATCTGGGAGCACGGGTGGAGTCCGGTCGGGACCCTTTGCAAAAGCTCAGAGGGATTTAGGTACTTTGTTTCATTGGTAGTTAATTTAGATGGAAAATGACTCTTGGGAGCCTTCGCTGGGAGTTCCTAGGGCATGACATGGTCAAGGCTTCATTAGCAGTGGTTGCTCACCGCCAGCAGAGAGAGGGAGTTCTGTGCCAGTGCAGACTTTTCTTAAAATACTTTGAAGTCTCAGAAGTCCAAACCGTGGTGACAACTCGCTGGCAACCTCCCCTGGGAATCCAGCCCAGCGTATTCATTTAAAATCATACATACATTTTTACTTCTGTTATTACAGATCTGCCTCTGATTAAATTGTATTTTTGCATGGATGCATTTTTCATCATCATTTTAGATTACACATGTCCCAAAGTGCCTGAACACTGGTGTGGATTGGTCCCTCTTGCACACACCACACAAAGAGGCTGGAGCGCTGAGAACTGTGAATTGTTGCAGGTCTCAGTGAGGGCAGCATTGCCATCACTTGAAAACCTTCTCCTGCCTGGGGTCACACGAAACCCACTGTCCTGCCAGCAGCCTGGGTCACCTAAAACAGGTTTAGCTTTCCATAGCTGTTGTGTTTCTTTAATAAAATATTTTTTAAAAATAAATTACAATCATCAGTGGAACCTCCTGCAATATTACTCGCCTCTAAACTTTCTTCTGGAGGAACTGGGATATGTTTAGATGCCCTAAGAAATAACAACCCTAGAAAACTTATTCCTGAGTTATTTTCAGTGTTTTGGGTGGTGGGATTGATCATGGCTCTATTTCTCCACTGCAGGTGCTGTGTTTCTCTCCTGCAGGATTCCTGCTGCAGCCTCCAGCACAGTCAGGGCGCAGACAGCAGCCCAGCAGCACCTTCGATTACACCCACAGTGTGACGGGGACTGAGCCGAGCGGGTTTTATTCCACCTGGCCCTTCCTGGGCACAGATCAGGGGATTTTCCCAGGCTGGGGTCCCAGTCCAGCAGCGGCCGTTCCATAATCGCTCTCCTTGTGCCGTGCCACCATCTAGCGGTGACTGCGCCGAGCCGGAGCAGCCCCGGGGCTGCGGGGGCTGCGCGGCTCCGCTTCCTCTCCGCGGGGATGCTGCTCTGCCGATGGAGCATAAAACACAGCAGGTCAACGAGGATAAGGCTTCTCCCGCATGTGTCATCCTGCTCTGCTCCTTCCTGTATTGAGATTTTAGGAGCGCCGCTTGTGCTTGATGCGGTTCTTTGCTAAAGGAGGCAAAGGTGGTGGGGAGGGGGCAGGAGAAGAGCAAAGGTGAGCAATGCACACACACACACACACACACACACACACACACACACAGACATCCACACGCACACGCACAGCCCTAGGGGAGTTTCCAGGCATTTATCTCCCAGGAAGGCTCAGCAGCATTTTTTGACCCGTGTGAGCAAAGCCAAGTGTTGATCCAGAACACCCTGTGGGAGGCTGGAAATCAACTTGTGCCCCCCTCGCCATGGGAAAGGGGAGTCAAATTTGCACAGCACTTTGGAGGAGCTGCCTTCTGCCTGGTGTAATTATGAATAACTGGAAAACTGCTTTCCTGGCCTGAAATTGCACATCCTTGAAGCTGCCTTTTCAGAAAAATATTTTTTTCTCAGAGACAGATGATGGTGAAAAGAGCTAAAAATCTGATGTAGGGCAGGAAAGGAAGGCCTCCTGTGGGTGTCATCTTTTGGCATTTGAGCGAGAGAGAGCAAGACCAGGGGGAGGGAGAGGTGTTGGACATAACTGACCCCACCTTGAGTGTCCCTCATGTCTGAGGTGTGCATGTGAGATCCTTTGCCATGGCCACTCTAAAAATCTCAAAATCTGTGAAAGCAAA